ATTTCCAAATTGTTTCGAGTTATGATTGAAAGGATACGCTTCCATCATCCATTAACACCTGACATACAATTTGGATGAGTGTTCGCGGGTGGAGATTGGCTTGGATAACACTTTCTAGCATGGAACGCATGAAAAATTCGTTGGTTTTGTCTTTCGTGCCTTGAAAAGTCAGAATGAAATGAATGTTGTTTTCCATTGTGAATGGGACAGTAAATTTTTTCTTACCTGGCACACCAATCAAAGGTCTGAATGACACATCTATCGTGGCTTTGTCCACTTTTTCATCGCGTACTTTGACTTCAGCTGGGCCATTTATCGAACATACGACATTCGATTCGCCTTATATAATTAGTCACGAAGAGTATTTTTACGTGTCATTACTTGATTTAAAAATGATGATTTACATGAGTTGAATATCTACCAAATTTAAAGGAAGCAGAACCATCTCTATTTACATAATTTTGTTCAATAGAAATTGGACGAATTTCTGTAGATTTTCGCTTATCGAAGCGTGACATGAATTCTGAAAACTAAACAAATAATCAAAAATTCAAACAAATACAAATTGATTGTGATGATTACGCATGAGTCATGTCGATCAGGCTTAGATCCACGGGCTGTGAATCGGCTTAGGAAAAAAATTTTTTTAAGCTCGAAATCTTACACCATTGTTCCGAAATATCGTAGGTGAATTGCAAAATATGAGTACTTTTGGTACAATTTTTCGAGTGACAACTTATGGTGAATCTCACGGTAAATCTGTCGGCTGTATAGTGGACAACTGCCCTCCCGGGTTGCCCCTTGTCGAAAGCGACATACAAACCCAGCTTAGTAGACGAAGGCCTGGACAGAGCGATTTAACTACACCAGTAAGCAATTTCTTTACCACTAGTCGGTGGATAATAAACACATAATATAAAGAGAAAAATTTTGCTTCTAAAAGGAAGTCGAAAGATGTATCTAATATGCTGTCGCCGTGCTTCACCTTGGTACATAGCGCGACGAAAAGGACCTAGTTACCATACAATCAGGAACGGAATTTGGAGTAACTCTTGGGACACCAATTGGATTATCAGTTCCCAACAAAGATCAACGTCCACATGATTATTCGGAAACGGACCTTTACCCAAGGCCTAGTCATGCTGATTGGACCTATCTGCAAAAGTACGGCGTCAAGGCTAGCAGCGGTGGTGGAAGATCGTCAGCCAGAGAAACGATAGGTAGAACCTTGCGATCATGATCAACCATTAAAAACGTTTGGGACTTGTTTTGATAGTTCATATGAATCTTTTTTGAATAGGACGAGTTGCAGCCGGCGCGATCGCAGAGAAATATCTTAAGCTTGCACATGGAATTGAAATCGTAGCATTCGTTTCATCAGTCTCAAATGTTGCGATGCCTTTCATTCAGGCTGAGGACGAAAGTGCTTTTCCACAGAGTTTCTGGGATTTGTTAAATGTCATTACCAGAGAAGAGGTCGATAAGGATATTGTGCGATGCCCAGACCAAGAAATTTCCGAAGAGATGCGAAAGGTTTGCACATGGTTTTGGACATAAATTTTGGACTCTCGTTCATGATTCAAATTTTGATGAGAAAGTATTTTTTAGCGAATTCTCGAAGCAAAAGCAGCTAATGACTCGGTAGGAGGAACTATTACCTGTGTCATTCGTAATGTACCACCAGGTTTAGGAGAGCCATGTTTTGATAAACTGGAAGCAAAATTAGCGCACGCAATGCTCTCAATTCCAGCTACAAAGGGATTTGAGATTGGAAGTGGTTTTAAGGGAACTACGTTATTTGGTCATCAGCATAATGATCCCTGGGTCAAG